CCCTGGAGGTGCACATGGGGCCCCCAGGGGCAGCGTGCCCTCGAGTGTGCACGGATGCAGTGCCAACCACACGGGGTGAATGGAGGTCAGCCAGGGCCTCCACACCTGGTGCTGGGAAGTTCACGGCCACCAAGTTCTCAGCTGCTCCTCCAAGTGGAGGAAGTGATGCTGCTGAAGGTGAAATACCTTAAGGTCAAGTTCCCCATGATACCAGACATCTATGCCTTCAACCACCCAGTGAGGCTGAAGGGTCTGACTTCACTCTTTGGGCTCAAGTCTCCTCCTGAAAAAAGGAGCTGGTATACCTCAACTTCCCAGGTGGCTCAGAGGTAAAGAACCCGCCTGCCAATGCAGGAGATGCATGGTTCAACCCCGAGTCGGGAAGATCCCCTGGAGAAGGGAACGGTAACCCACTCCAGTGTTCTTGCCTGGGAAATCCCATGGACAGAGGAGCCTGGAGGGCTACAGTCCATGCGGTCGCAAGGAGTTGGACACACTTCGCGACTGAGCACGCACACCTGCCGCAGGGACTGTTGTGAGAACTCAGTGACTTAATACCTGGACCAGTGCCTGGCCCCCAGTCAACTCGCCGCAGGAGCTCCGGGAGGGCATGTGCATCCCTGGCTGAGACAGTGCCCTCTTCTGGGCCTCCGTTTCCCCACTCGGATACTGAGGGATCTGGAGGTGATGTTCCCACATCTGGCTTGGGAAAAAAATAGAGGTGGTTAAAAGCACCAACTTTGGAGTCAGTGCCAGCACTAGCGAGATGACTCTGGGCGAGTTATACAGTTTCCGTGTCTTGTGCTCATCACCCCTAAAATGGGGATACTAATAATACCTACCTTGAAGTCTTCCCTGATGGTCCAGAGATTAAGACTTCATGCTTCCAGTGCAGAAGGCATGGGTTCAATCCCTGGTCAGGGAACTAAGATCCCACAAGCTGTGCCATGCAGCCAAAATGATAGTAATAATAATAATAACGATAATGATAATACCAGCCACTTCATGGAATTGTGGGTTTCCCAGATGGTGCTAGTGGTAAAGAACCCACCTGCCAATGCAGGAGTCATAAGAGACACAGATTCAGTCCCTGTGTCAGGAAGATCCCCTGGAGGTGGAAATAGCAACCCACTCCAGTATTCTTGCCTGGAGAATCCCATGGACAAAGGAGCCTGGCAGGCTACAGTCCACAGGGTCACAAGAGTCAGACACGACTGGAGGGACTTAGCATGCACAAATGCCTGGAATTGTGAAAATGAGATGAGAGATGAGGTCAGCCTCCCAACAGGGCTTGACATGCAGTGAGTACATTTAAGTGTCAGCCGTCACCGCTGCTACTACTGTTATTTTCTTCATCTTACAGATGAGGAAGCTGAGACCCAGAGAGGGGATGTGACTTACTCAAGGTCACCCAGCTAAAAAGTGGCACACCTTAGGATCAAGGCCAAACCTGCTGAGCCCCAAGGCCCATGCTGTTTCCATCCCTTCCCCACTGCGCCTCTGAAGTCACATGCGTAGTAACTGGGTCAGAGGCAGCGTACCTGGGGGATGACGCGGCAGCATCCATCAGCGACGGGTGCAGGTCAATCCCTTGTCTCCTGCTGACACCTTGCAGAGAACAGGCCTGGAGGAAGAGGGGGGTTGAAGTGAGTGGGGGGAAGAAATGGAAGACCCACAACCTGGACCCTCAGAACCAAGGGAAGGGGCCATGGAGAGTTGGATTTGATGTAGCACTAGCCCCCAGGGTAGTCTTGGCCTGTTGATGGGGACTGACAGGATAAAGCTGAGACTACCCAAGATATTCAACAGGGACTGTAAGAGAGAGGCATACAGACCCTGCCTGAACCCTGGGGCCCCTCAGAGACAGGAATTGACACTGGGAGCAGCAGGGAAGGCTTCCTAGAAAAGTGGGACCTGAGGATAATGCGATAAGGGGAAGGGGCAGGGGCGGGAAGGGGCAGGGGCGGGGAGGGCAGGCCGGCAGGAATGACGGGGGGTGGTGCTGCAGAGGCACATTCAAGCTGAGGCGTGGCATTGCTGGGCAGTGGTCAGAGCCTGGGCTGAGCCTGGGGGTGAGGAAGCTGGTGTGCCCCCCACCCAGCCCGCAGAGCCTGCCCAGGGCAATGCTTGAGGCCAAAGCGGCAGAGAGAAGCAGGCACCCCACAGTCCCTGGGGGAGGGAAGAAGGGCTTCTAGCAACTTGCAGCTGCCAGCCAAGCTCCCAGGGGATGCAGAAAACAGCCCCAGAGGGACCGTCCGGGACCAAAGCCTGAAGTGGGAGCATCGCCACACGTGTGCACACAGGTGCCTGCACACACGAGGCAGCCCTTGGGGAGTCCACGCGCTTATCAGAAGTAGGTCAGCAGAGCAGTCCAGGGTCTCTTCTTGATGGGCATGGGGGAAGAGCTCCAGGTCAAGAGGATGCGCACTCATCAGCACACAGGGGGCGGGGGGGAGCCCCACACGCTCCACAGGAACAGCCTGACCCCCCCCTCCCCAGGCTGCATCAGAGCCCATGGCCTGGCTGTTCCCTCTCGGAGTCCTGTCCACCCAGGCAGTGGGCGGACATGTGACTGGGGTCGGGAGAGCTGACCCCTTCTAGCCCTGAGACTGTCATGGGGAGATGTCACCCTACTTTAGCCCTGCAGTGGGGAGATGCCCAGTGCTGTCCTGCCCTGAGCAGGCACTGCATAGACTCGGTGGCCGTGCCAGGTAGGGCTGGGTTCGGACACTGTCGCTGGTGGAGGAAGCAGGGCTGGGGGTCCTAGGTTCTCAATGGAGATGCTCCGAGGGGAGGGCACCGTATGGGACTTCATGAATGGAGGGGAGGGGAGGGGCCTGTGTGGGGGAGCAGGATACTGAGGAAGGAGCAGGGGGCGGGAGCCAAAGGAGGGGAGGATGGCTCCCTGCACCCCCCCACCCCCCGCAGCCAGCCGGGAGGACGTGCAGATGGAGCTCCGTTTGGGGCTGGGTGGGAGGCAGGAAGTTCCCTCCTGATGTTCCTCTTCTCCGCGTGAAGTGGGAGGCTGGGTCGTGCCGAGGGGGAAGGGGAAAGCAGAGGAGGAGAAGAGGGTTTGGGCCTGGGAGGGGAGTGGCTGGCCTGGCCAGGGTAAAGATGCCAGGCTCCCAGACTGGGCTCACCCCAGCCTCCAGCCCAGCTCAGCGGGCAACCATCATCAGAATGAGAACCCAACCACACCTGCCTCTTGGGGAGGCACTTACTGTGCACCAGGGACCAACCACTTCATGTCCTGTAACCCTCAGGGAAAAGACACTATTGTATTCTTTTTATAAGATGGGGAAACCGAGGCACAAAGGCAGGAAGTAACTTGAGCAAGGACATCCAGCTAGCAAGTCATTGAGCCCGGCTTCCAACTGGGCAGTCTGGCCCCAAGTCTGTACCTTCACTCTGAACCGCAAGGACAGGAGTGGGGGCTGAGGGGCGGGCTGTGGGTACCGGGAACACTGGTGGTCCACCTGGGACTGGAGGGAGCTGGTGCTGAGGCTCAGCACCAGAGGGGGTTCACCGCCAGCCTCCCTCACTGGTGCATAGGCAGACATGGACACTTGTTCCCTGATGCTCGGCTCCCTGGTCTAAGCCTCCCTCCATTAGACGGATGAGAAATGCAGACCCCAGATAAGCATTTGCTGTCACCCACCCCTGAACGCTCCCCACTGCAGCTCTCTGCACCCCCAGCACCATCGAGAGGCAAACTCAGTACCCCCGAAGGGGTGGGTGTGTCCAGGAAGCCCCCTCCCCCAGCCCATGTGAACACAGAAGGGGCCAGCGGTGAATGTGGAGGATGGGTCGTGGTAGAACAGGCATTCTGTCCTTGTATCCAGGGAGCCTGGGCGGAGACCCAGGAGCTACAGCTGCAGCTGTGTACTTGAGCTGGGCTGTGTGTGGTCATCTGAGGTCGGGGACGGATTATAAGGCTAAGGCCGTGGTGGGGATGTGGCCAGCCTGCACCGCCCTGGCATGATTTTGTCTGAGACTTCTGCCCCCTGTTATGGCTTCCCTGGTGGCTCAGTCGGTGAAGAATCCACCTGCAATGCAGGACACCTGGGTTCCATACCTGGGTCGGGAAGATCCCCTGGAGAAGGAAATGGCAACCCAGTCCAGTATTCTTGCCTGAGAAACCCCATGGACAGTGGAGCCTGGCATGCTGCAGTCTGTGGGGTGCAAAGAGCCGAAACGACTGAGCGACTGAACAACCTCCCCTCACACCCCACCTTCCCCTCCCCAGCCTTATTTTCTCTACAGCCCATGTCACCTTTTATCACAGTATATAATTTGTGGGCTCACTGTGTATTGTCCATTTCCCCACCTTGAACATAAGTCCTGTGTGTTCAGGGCTGTGTCCCCAGGGCTCCAGACAGCACCTGGCAAACAGCGGGTGCTGATCAGTACTTGTGAATGGGAGCACCCATGTGAACTCAGCATGTGGCATGTCTTCATGTGACATAAACACATGTGCCTTGCCTGACACTGTGTCTGGATGATAGCAGGAGACACCCAAGTAGGGAGCGGTGGGGCAGTGGCCGTGTCTCTGGGGAACGCTGGCTCAGGCCTGACCCTGAAGCTTCCAGGAAAGGATGGGGAACTTCCCAGGTGATTCTTCTTTACCACTGAACCAGGTGACTCAGTGGTAAAGAACCCGCCTACCAATGCTGGAGGCGTAAGAGACGCAGATTTGAACCCTGGGTCAGGAAGATCCCCTGGCGGAGGCCATGGCAACCCCCTCCAGTTCTTGCCTGGAGAATCCCATGGACAGAGGAGCCTCGTGGGCTACAAGTCCGGGGGTCTTTTGAGTTTGGACATGCCTTAGCAACTAAACCAACCATTCGCAGCAAAGATGCTCGTCGCCCCCTCGTGGTCATCTGAGGCCTGGCATCGGGCCCAGCCCCAGGGATCCTGGGCCCTGGACGGGGAGAAGGTGGGTGGTGGAGGGGCCTGATGTCACACTCCATCCCTCTCCCCACCCCCACACCAGGGAGAAGATGAGCACGGGCTGCCCAGAGCCCGAGCCTCCCCACTCCCTGCCCTGCTGTGGGCCAGGGACCGCCCCCGGGCTGGGTGCCGGTGTGCCCCTCCTCACCGAAGACATGCAGGCGCTGACCCTCCGCACAGTGGCCGCAAGCGATGTCACCAAACACTACGAACTCGTCCGGGAGCTGGGCAAGGGCACCTATGGGAAGGTTGACCTGGTGGCCTACAAGGGCACAGGTGAGTGTCTGCAGGGCGGCCCGCTGTAAGACATGAGTGGGGACCTGGCGGGGGCTCTCTGTGGGGACCAGGAGGCCAGCAGAGAGGCAGAGTCCAGTACCTGTGGAGAGAGTGTGGGGTGAAGCGGCCGGGGAAGGAGGGGACAAGGGAAGAATCTCTGGGTAGAGTGCCCCCACTGGAGGGTGGGCTGCTCTGGGGCCATCCACAGTGCCCTGAGGACAGCCAAAGAGGATGAGATGGCTGGCATCACCAACTCAATGGACGTGAGTTTGGGCAAACTCCAGGAGATAGTGAAGGACAGGGAAGCCTGGTGTACTGCAGTCCATGGGGTCGCCAAGAGTCAGACACGACTCAGCAACTGAACAAAAGTGCCCTTGGGACAGCCAAGGAGATGCGCCTGGGGACATGTGGAATCAGGGGAAAGGTCAGGGCTGGCAGTGGTGTTTGGGAGCTGACCAGCATATATGTGATAGCTGCCCTCGGGAGGGTGGACCAAACTGAACTAGGGTCCTCGAGAACAGAGCACCATGCTTAACAGCAGGTGGGAGAGGGCCCTGTGAGGTCCGTGTGGCGTCTCCTTTCCTCAGATCCCGAGGACACTGAGACCCAGAAAGATGCAGTCATTTAGCCCAGGTCACGCAGCTACAGAAAGTATGAGCTCAGATAAGCCCCCAGTCATCAGCTCCGGGGCCTTCTTGCTTAACTGCTGAATGTGACACCTTCGCCACAGTGTAAGCTCACTGCAGTGCCCGTCAGCCAGCCAGGGGCGGGGGGCTGCATAGGTGCCCAGAGCTGCGCTCAGAGGGGACCGGGCCAGAAGGAAGAGCCTTGCACATGGGGTCACCTGAGCTTTGCTGCTTGCTTGCTGTGTGACCTGGGGCACGTGACTTAACCTCTCTGTGCCTAGGTTTCCTCCTTTGTAAAACAGAGGAGCATTAATGCCCAGCTGATAGGGCCTTTATAAAAGAGTGAGTTGTGAAAGTGAAGTGCAGAAGGCAGGACCCGTGATGTGTAAGCACTCTGTGAACACACATGTATGTCGCATGGCTCCGTACCCAGCTGGGTACAGATAGCTGCTCAAGCTCAGAGTCAGGGACCTGTGCCTTGCAGGCCCTCGCCGCTGTGTGTCTGCCTTCTTATTTATTCATCTGCTTAACAAACGTTTTTGGAGCACCTGCTATGCACCAGGCTGTTCTGTGAGCGCTGGAAATACAACAGCAAACAAGACACGGATTCCTGGGACTTCCCTGGTGGTCCCGTGGTTGGGACTTCACCTTCCAGGGCAGGGGAGTGCCGGTCCCATCCCTGGTCAGGGAACTGGGGATGGCACATGCCTCACAGCCAAGGAACAAAAGCAATAGTGTAACAATTCATGAAAGACTTGAAAAAAATGGTCCACAAAAAAAAAAAAATCTTAAAAAAAAAAAAAGACAGTTTCCTGCGTTCAAGGGCCTTCTGACCAGGGCAGACAGACAGGATAGGTAAGTACACAGTGTGTAAGGAAAATGAGAGGGTGGAGGAAGCAGCAGGCCCGCCTCGTGGGGCCTGCAGGCGGGGCAGAGAGGACCCAGGCTGACCCCTGACTTGCTGCATGGCCTTCCCCTCTTAGGCCTCAGTTTCCTACCTGTGAGACGAGGACAGCCCGCCCACTGGGGCTCCCGTCGAGTTGTGCACGGTGGCTCAGACAGGCTTCGCAGACAGGCACAGCTGTGTGGGGCGCAGGGGCGCAGGGAGGGGGCTCCTCACCGCTCTCTTTGTCGCCCGGCTAGGCACGAAGATGGCGCTGAAGTTTGTGAACAAGAGCAAAACCAAGCTGAAGAACTTCCTGCGGGAGGTGAGCATCACCAACAGCCTCTCCTCCAGCCCCTTCATCATCAAGGTCTTCGACGTAGTGTTTGAGACCGAGGACTGCTATGTCTTCGCCCAGGAGTACGCGCCCGCCGGGGACCTATTCGACATTATTCCTCCTCAGGTACCTGGGTGGTGGCTGAGGGAGGGGAGAGGGTCTTCAGGGTCCCCGAGTGTGAGAGCTGAGGAGGAGTCAGGCCACTCGCTTAAATCATTTATTAGGCACCTACTGTATATCAGTCACTGTTTGGAGGGTTGTGGATACACAGTGAACAAAAGGTCCTGCTATGGTCCTAGTGGGGGAAACAGACACTCCACAGCCAGATGAGGCACTGAGATGATGGAGAAGGGAATGGCAACCTACTCCAGTATTCCTGCCTGGAGAATCCCAGGGACAGAGGAGCCTGGCCTGCTACAGTTCACAGGGGCGCAGAGTCAGACACGACTGAAGTGACTTAGGCACCCCACTGCGATGAGGACTGGCCGGTGGGTGGGATAAAGTCCAGCAGCCCCCTCCTCCATCGCCGCATAGGAACAGGTGGGGACCCAAGAGGGGAGTTGGCAGGGCCACCAGTCTTCCCAGAGGAGGTGCCCGCGATGGGACACTGCCCCCAGGGATTCCCCGCACCTGGCTTCCCAGTCGGCCAGGATGAAACTGCCCTGCCGCCGGATAACTGACAAGGCCTCTCAGAGCCGCCGTTTAAGGGAGATGGGCATACAGCAGACCCTGAGGGATGGGGTCTTTATTAGCCCAGTACTTGGCCCAAAGCAGGCGCTCCGTACAGGTACTGAGGGAAAAGGTGGGGAAAGTTCGAGGGGTGTGTGAAAACCCGGGGGCCAGGGAGGGAGCCGGGGATGCCCAAGTAGGATAAGGAAGGGCGGCTGGCCCCGGATCTGCTGAGGAAAGGGACCCGAGAAGGAGTTGGGGGGGACTCTCCTGAGCCGCTCTCCCGCCCTCCCCTCCGGTCGCAGGTGGGGCTCCCCGAGGACACCGTGAAGCGCTGCGTGCAGCAGCTGGGCCTGGCGCTGGACTTCATGCACGGTCGGCAGCTGGTGCACCGCGACATCAAGCCGGAGAACGTGCTGCTGTTCGACCGCGAGTGCCGGCGCGTGAAGCTGGCCGACTTCGGCATGACGCGCCGCGTGGGCTGCCGCGTGAAGCGGGTGAGCGGCACCATCCCATACACAGCGCCCGAGGTGTGCCAGGCGGGCCGCGCCGACGGCTTCGCGGTGGACACGGGCGTGGATGTGTGGGCCTTCGGCGTGCTCATCTTCTGCGTGCTCACCGGCAACTTCCCGTGGGAGGCGGCGTCGGGCGCCGACGCCTTCTTCGAGGAGTTCGTACGCTGGCAGCGGGGCCGCCTGCCGGGGCTGCCGTCGCAGTGGCGCCGCTTCACCGAGCCAGCGCTGCGCATGTTCCAGCGGCTCCTGGCGCTGGAGCCCGAGCGCCGCGGGCCGGCCAAGGAGGTCTTTCGCTTCCTCAAGCACGAGCTCACGTCCGAGCTGCGGCGCCGGCCCTCTCACCGCTCGGCCCGCGCCTCCCGCCGTCGGGCCCGGACCTGTGCCGGTCCCGGTCCCAGTCCCCGTGCCGGTCCCCGTGCCCGAGCCCGGCCTGGCCCCCCCGGGGCCTCCCGGCAGGACCGACGGCCGCCCGGACAAGAGCAAAGGGCAGGTGGTGCTGGCCACGGCCATCGAGATCTGCGTCTGAGCCGCCCCCGCCGCCCTCGGGGCCCGGGCGCCGAGCAGCAGCTAGGCCGGGGCGCGGGGAGCCGCCCTGGCGAAGCGGCCAGCACCCCGCGGCGGCAGGAGGGATTAGTGGTAGGCGAGGCAGGCGCCCGGCCCAGCGGCGGGCCGATGAAATGCCACCAAAGGAGCCCAGCCCCACAGACCCGAGGATTCAGAGGCCCCCACCCCCCACCCCCGACACCGGGAGCAAGGGAGCTTGCCGGCAGACTACCCCACACCTCCCTGAACCCTGGGACCCTGAACTAGTTGCTCCGGGCCCTTTGCACCCCCTGGCAGATAATCCCGCAGCCCCACCCCTGGTCCCGTCCTCCTCCCCACCTTCCCGCCCCCATCCCCATCCTGGGAACGTAAAGGAACCGAAGTGTTGGGGCGGAGAAGGGGCTTAGGGCGTCTAGGCACTGGCTGGGAGGAGGGCGGAGAGCCAAGGGCAGGGGCGTTGCTCATCTGAGACCGGCCCCTTTCCAGGGAGGGTTAGGGGGAGGGACCACGCCCCCTGCAAAAATGTAGCAAACGTCTGGATGTCGCAGCAGGGTGTGTAAACAGGCCCCAAGAATCCTGTGACTCTCCCACCACCCAGTCCCCGCCACCCCGATGAGGACACAGAGCCCAAAAGGAGGGCGGCCGGCCAAGACCACACACAGCCAGAGAGGCCGCAGCCCTCCCCCTCCCCCCACAGGGATCTCAGGGCAACTGAAGGTCTCCGTGGCCAGGGACCTCAAGCCCCTGCATCCCCAGGCCCGGGGAATGAGTTCAGAGCCCGGGCGCGACCCAGCTCCGCCTGACCACAGGCACCTTCCACCGGCCAGGGAAACCTTGCTCAGATCCTCTCAATCCTCGCTGCCCCAGCCCAGACTGAGTGGCCTAGACTTTGAGCAGGCAGCGAGGTTACTTGTGCCAGGAATTTCTCCCGGGTTTCTGCTGGAGTCCAACAACATCTGAGCCTGGGGCTGACTCCATCCCAGCGTCTCCCAAGTTTCTGGTACTGGGGTGTGGGTGTGAGAATAAGGCGCCCTGGAAATGGGAGGGAGTGAGTGTGTGAACAGGTACGTGTGCAGTGTGAGCACATGCAGAAGGCACCTATGTGCGTTTAGCTCTGTTCAGTGGCTGCATCCAGACACCCCAGTCACTCCGCCCCAGAATTCTCAGCGGGCAGCTGCCAGAGGGCGCCCAGGCCCGCGGCTCAGCACACCCCTCAGGGAGCCCGGCGAGGAGGCACCTGCAGGCCCATTAAGGCCCCGAGGCAGCGCAACAGGCCAGAGGAGCCCAGCCTCACAAAGCCCACCCTCACGACTCCTGCCCTGTCCATGGAGGCCTGGGACCCTGCAATAACCTCATCCCAGGAGAGGCTGCTCCCTCTGCCTGGCAGCACCCTGCCGGCTGTCCCGGGCCACACCTTCCAGGGTCCCTCCTGGGGTTCTCGGCCATTTGAGGGAGCTCCCTAGTGGGCCAGGCTAACCAGAGGGGACCCTCTGGTCGAGAGCCCCCACTTCTCCATTCACCCGCATTCCCACCATGCAAAAGGGCTATAGGTCCCCCCGCCCTGCCCGGGGCCAGTTTACAGTGCGGTTGCCCCAGGGCCTGGTCCGCCTGCCTCCTCAGTGTGCCCGCCCATCTAGAGACCCACCTCCCCGGCGGGCATGGGGGCCCAACACATGCCAGGTAAGTAGCAACCCCCCCCCACGGGCCAAGTCTTGGAGCAGGGCCTGCCTCCCCATCACTGCCCCGCCCCCCCAGCCCACCTGGAGCCCATCTGGGCACCTCTCCCAGCCTCGACTTCTCCTTTTGCCTTAGGCCTCTCGACATCCCGTCTCTCCTGCAATAACACGGAAGCGAGATTCCAAGTAGACGCCCCTCGCGTGCGCCCTCTTTTCTCTCTCTCTCTCTCTCTGTTAAGATCCTGTTTTGAGAGTCTCTCCCTTGTCGTAGTATCTAGGATGTTAGAGTTGGGAAGGGACCGTAGTTCTGTAGCCCAGCCCCTGTTTTCAGAGGCACAGGGAGGGGGCAGCGGCAGCCGACTGGAAGCAGGACTGGAACCGGTTCTACACCCGCCCTCCCGTTCAGGGCCTTGCTGCCGCCGCCGCCACCACCACCTCTGCTGGGGGGACTGGGACCCTTTGCCCCTTAGGAGAGGTGTTGGTCACAGATGTTTACCTCAGTTTATGTCACTGTCAAAGAACAAGTAAATAGCAAAAAAATGAATCACACCGTAGACCTGAAGACTTAGGAAAAAAAAAACCCTCGCGATTCTTCTGTGCAGGTGTTTGTGTGTGCGCACACACGCGCGTGTCTCTGTCACACCCTGGGCCAGCTGGGTCATCCCCGACCTCTGTCCCAGCCCCACGCCCCCTACACTGCCCCCTGTCCTTCGGTGCTTCCCAGAGGCCCCTCAGAGCTGGCCTGTGGGGTGTGGCGAGCCCCTGGGCAGAAGGCAGGGCCACAGGTTAGCTAAGCGGTCTGCCACCAGGCCAGCTGAGCAGAGCCCTAAGGCTGCCAATGCTCCCCGGGCCCACGCTGTGGCCGGTGGGACCATCCTGGTGGCTGGTGTCAGCATTCCAGCCTGACTCGGGGCCTGGGTGGGATCCCAGCCCCGCAGCTCCAGACCCTCATGTTGCCACCGTCCTCCACCGTGTGTTTGTAAATACTCTGGCATCCTTTGGCCCTGAGAAGGTTTTTAAATGTGTTATTTACTTCTCTAATCATGACAATTGCTATAAAATAAACAAAAGTTTAGAAAAATTACCACTGGGTGTCTTGTCTTGTCTCAGATAGGGCCTAGAGAGGGAGGTACACAGAATTAACTCTGGAAACTGAAAACAACACATGGTTTAAGGTGGGGTCTGCAGAGTCCAAAGGCAGCTACCCCAGGCCTCCTGTGACCTCTTGCGTGAGCTAGAGGAGACCCCAGCCAGGGATGATGGAGCATGAAAGGAACAAGGACCCGTGTTCTGTGGGGGAGAAGTAGGGAGCTTTCCTGAACTGGACTCCAGCTTCAGTGTGGAGCCCTTCAGACTGGGCAGGAAACAGCGGCCAAAAAGCCCAGAGGAACAGAGTAAGCGACTCATCCAGCCACCCAGCAGCAAATGTTTACCATGCGCATTTTGTGCACCTGGCTTCCTAGCGGGGCCTGGGGATGTGCCAGTAAACAGGACAGATGGGGCCCCGTCCTTGGGCAGCCAGTGATCTAATGATGCAGCAGACATCACCCACGTGGAAACCTGGGGGCCGGGAAATTACGTAACCGGGAAGCTGGTCAAGTTCGGAGGAGGCAGGAACTCCCCAAAGACGGAGACCAGAGGCTTCGGGAGTTGTCTGGGTGGCGGGCACAGCGGGTGCAAAAAAGCTGATTGGCTGAGGCTGCAGACTCAAGGCAGCAGGCAAATGGACGTTCTAACGCAGGGGAGTCAGGCGGGCGATGAGGAGTTTCATGATTCAACATTCATTCAGCAAATATTTATTAATTACGTACCCTTGACAACAGAACAGTTCTGTTGGCTCTGCCTTCAGCCACAGCTCTACCCAGAATCTGAATGCGTGCACCGCCAGCAAGGAAGTTGGCAACCCTCGTCTGCCTGGTACCCCTCACTCACTCCCAGCTTCCTCTCCTGAGCCTCTTCAGGGTCTTTTCAGGACAGCAGCCAGAGTGAGTCTGCGCATAGATGACACCTGTCATTCTGTTGGAAAGCCTACAAAAGCTCTCTGCATGCATGCATGCTAAGTTGCTTCAGTCATGTCCAACTCTTTGCAACTCTATGAACTGCAGCCCACCAGACTCCTCTGTCCATGGGATTCTCCAGGCAAGAATACTGGAGTGGGTTGCCGTGCCTTCCTCTGGAGGATCTTCCTAACCCAGGGATTGAACCTGTGTCTCCTGCATCTCCTGCATTAGCAGGGGATTCTTTACCACCAGCGCCACCTAGGAAGCCCCAGGAAATCTCCCTATTTCACTCCAAATCAAATCTGCAGTCCTTACAGTGGCCTTCAAAGGTGCCGCTCCCTACTCCACTCCTGTGCTGCTTCCAGGCCCTGTTGGCCTCTAGGTCAGCCAAGTACACTCTAGCTCAGGGCTTGTATCCTTGCCTTGGACTCTCCCAAATCTCCCTGCAGCTCCCCTTTCCCCTCCTTCAGGTCCCTGCTCCAAGGTCAATGATCAGAGTCCACTTCCTGGAGCAGATGCTCCTCACCCTGCTTCACTCACCACCATTCCCAACACCAGGCATTGGTTTGTTCTCCATCTCTCCCCACTAGAACATAAGTTCCATAAGAGCAGAGTCAGTATTTGGCAAACCGCTACTCCCCTCCCCACCCCCACCTGATGCCTAGTACAGGGCCTGGCACACGACACTCCGTAAGAATTTGTCAACTGAATGAATGATTGCCTAATACTGTTTTAGGGGCTGAGGATACAGCAATAAACAAGATATACAATCCATATCTCCTGAAGCTTACTTCCTAAAAACAGGTATTAAATAGGTTACAAAGCTATCTGTGAAATTTAGAGGCATGGAGGTAAAAGAGAGAGGGGGGAGATAAGTAGAAAAAAAAAACTTCTTTAGTGGTCCAGTGGCTAAGACTCCACACTCCCAATGCAGGGGGTCTGGGTTCAATCCCTGGTCAGGGAACTAGATCCCACAGGCTGCAACTAAAGATTCCACNGACATTGATTCAGTCATTGGATTTTGAGGAAGGATTAAGCTCCATGTAGTAAAAGGTGTCTACTTTGAAGCAGATCATGGAAGAGAACATGTGCTGATGTTCTGTGCTGATGTATTGATCTTAGAGACTGTTTCAAATTTGGCAGCTTCCTTTTCTTGGCAGAGGAGAATTGTGTCTATAAACGGCACTTCATAGTTGTCCAACTTCTGACTGTGAGCCAGCAGATAAGAGTCTCATTGTGTAGTGTGGATTCATAGATGTTTCTAGAGGTTTCACTTTCATAGTGATTTCATAAAGTAGCTACAGCTCTAAATAACTAAGGTGGTACTGTTGCTAACAGCACAGCACATTAAATACATGAGTAATTGTTTTTAGTAACAGCCATTGACCACACACAAGAATATGGGAAGTTGGAATTTACCAGTTAAGTTTGAAGGCAACAAAGTGAGGAAAAGGTAATCCATTAAAACCTCACATTTAGTCACTTGGATTATCACTGATGAGCACCTGAAATAAAGTAATAAGAAGTTATTAAAGGCAGGGCTTCCCAGGTGGCACTAGTAAATAATCCACCTGCCAGTGCAGGAGACACAAAGACATGAGGGTTCGATCCCTGGGTTGGGAAGATCAGCTGAAGAAGGAAATGTCAACCTGCTCCAGTATTCTTGCCTGGGAAATCCCATGGACAGAGGAATCTGGCAGGCTACAGTCCATGGGATTGCAAAAGAGTTGGACATGACTTAGAAACTAAATGACAAGAGGATGGAGGGGAAATCTACAAATGTACAAATATCCCCTCTTGTAACACCCAATGTGTCAAGCCTGGCGTGCTGCAGTTCATGGGGCTGCAAGGAGTCGGACACAGCTTAGCTTCTGAACAATGTGTCAGAGAATGCCAGGACTTACCACTAGGGGGCCTTGGTTTTCTGCGCTGTTGCTTCTGTCTGCCACTCAGTATCACTGCCGAAACCAGGCATCCTCTAGGTGATAAAACTCATCCTCCTGCCAGGTCAAAGGGGCTTGACAAGAAGGGCTTCCATAAACACATACATTGTTTCAGAACCCAACCAACGCCCAGAATCCCTTGGATCCTTCTGTTTAGCCCGGGCCACCTCCCCTTGATCATGGAAAGTTTCTTCTCCAGAGCATTTAGTGTCCTTTCCTGCCCATAGTCTTCAGTCTAGATTAACTTAGTCCCTCAAGAGATTTCCTATGACACTGATCTTCAGAAGAGAAGAGATTTTATTCTTTAGTTCCTTTTTCCCAAAGATGCTCCTTGAACCCCAGGCAAAATTTCCCCACTCCTTGCCAGTGACAGCTAAGGCTGCCAAGACAAGGAGCACTGGAGGGGGGGCAACCTCAAAGCTCCAGTATATCCTACATGCCAGACAGTGGATGCCTACTCAACTTACATCACTCAGGAAGACAGTCCCCACACAGCATCTCTGTCTCAAAAATGTCAAGCCCTACCCAGCCATCTAGTGCCTGGATTGGGGTGAAAATGTGGGTGTAAGAAAAGTAAATTTGAGGTATTTACTAGAAGTGGAGGGGAGGAGACTATTCATCACCCAGCCTTGGGTTAACAGAGTTTTGGGGCAATGGAGGAATTCAGGGGTTTCCATGTCGAACCAAAACAACAGAAAGAGGATGGTGGCTTCAGAGGCCAGGAGCTTATGGGGACAGCCACAGAGTAGGCTGTATAATTAACAAACTGTATTGTATACATGACATTTGCCACAAAGGTATATCTTGTGTTCTCACCACACAAAATTTGAACTATGGGAATTGAAGGATATATTAATTAGCTAATGATGGTGGTGATCACTTTGTAATATACACATATATCAAAACATCAAGTTGTACACCCTACATGGTGTGTGTGCATGCTCAGTGGTGTCGACTCTGTCACCCCCATGGATTGCAGCTCTCCAGGCTCCCCTGTCCACGGGATTCTCCAGACAAGAATACTGGAGTGGGTTTGCCATTTCCTCCTCCAGGGGACCTTCCCAACTCAGGGATCGAATCCATGTCTCCTGCATCTCCTGCATTGGCAAGCAGATTCTTTACCACTATTGCCACCTGGGAAGCCCCACTGTACACCCTAAATATAAGAATTTTATTTTGTCAATTAAACATCAATAAAGCTAAGAAAAAAAATTAGTAGGCTAGGATGGCCTAACTCAAGAGACTGTGAGCCCTGGGACTTCCCTGGTGGTCCTGTGGTTAGGACTTTGGGCTTCCACTACAGGGCGTGTGGGTTCAATCCTTGGTCAGACAACTAAAATCCCACATGCCAGGTGGTTCAACCAAAAAAAAAAAGAGTAAGCCCCAAGTTGGGAATCCTCAGAAAGATCATGGAGGGGCCTGGTTATCCTTAGCATGTGGTGAAGGGCTCACAACATTTTATTCTGATGTTAAAGGAAAATGGGGGCAACTGCAGAAAATAGAGAACTGGGGGTTATAATTAATTACCGCTGTGATAAGGACCATGGGATGCTAAGAATAACAGAATACTTAGTGGACATCTGCTATTTCCTGTTCAGCACCCATTCCCTCCTCTCTGGTTGACAGCAACCCAAGTTTCCCTTGCATGTTCTTGATCCATGTGGTTCCGGTGGGGCTAACTCCATCCCTTGGCTCCATGAGGTGATCACATGACCCAGGTCTGGTCAAGCAGCATCTTCCTACCCATGAGCCACGGCAATTGGCTCAGGTTTACAGAACTGAGTTATATAGCCCAGGTTGTATAACTAGGTTTAGGCAGCTCCTGGCCCTTCTCTACACCTATTAGGGGAAAAAGGACGCTCTTTTCCTAAGAGCTGTAACCTGTGAGATGTAAGCTTGGTGGCCATCACTGACACCACTTGGGGAGATTCTNTCGTGATGAGGATTTTACCAAAGGTGCTCATGACTGAGAAAGTATTTTTTAAACCATAAAAAAACTATCAATATGCAAGGTATTATTATTTCATGAACGAACCCAAGTATACAAAAGTGTCCAAAAGCAAAACAGAATTACTATTCACTTACAGACAGATGTCCAACCCTGATTCTGCTTATAACCCACAGGCTTAGGTGCCTGCCCTATGGAAAAACTTCTAGCTAGAGTTACCAGGGGAAAATCCCCTGAAGGAGACTATGGCACTCCGCTCCAGTATTCTTGCCTGGAGAATCCCATGGATCAAGGAGCCTGGCAGGCTGCGGTCCATAGGGTTGCAAAGAGTCGGATACAACTGAAGAGACTTAGCATGCACGCACTATAATAAATATATACATATATAATATATATAGTATAGCATTCCCAAGCATACACTTACCTTTACTATTGTTTTAGGGCGTTTTTTAAAAAATAGTTTTGGCTTTTCCACCACTGGCAGAGGTGGGAGTTTCCTAAGCTCCTGTAGCACAGTGGTTGCAGCACGCTTCTTGGAGAGTTTCTTGCTATTTCCCTCTCCCTCAGCGGAGAACTCTCCCACTGACACCCGGGTCACAAAGCTTTTCATGTGTGGTGGGCCACTTTCTTTAATAACCTATCAAATATAAGTAAAAGATTCAATACAGGGACTTAAGATGGGTTTTTATGGCATGAATCTTTCTTAATGTTCATATGAAAATCCAAATTGAAATTATTAAGAATTATGCCAAAATTATGGATTTCTTCAATAAAGCTATTATGAACTCATTATACAGAGACTCTTCATTTATACTCCTGATGCTTAATGAATTAAATTGGAAAAAACAGAAATCTAAATAAAACATATTCAATTCATGGTCAAAATTGTGTTTTACTAGCTTAAAAAAGGCAATTCTAATTATGGTTGCCCTGATTCTTATGGGACAGAAAATTAAGATCATAAAATCATTACCACATACATATCTAACTTTCTCCTCTGTGAGAATAAGTTACTCGAGTACAAGGATTATGTCTCACTGGAGTTCTATAACTTATGAAGCATCTTGCATGTGGAAGCCTCTCACAAAGAGGTGGTAGATGGAAAAATCACCTATTTTTGATGGAGACCTCAAAGGCTGTCTTACAATAAGGAATATTTACTCTCTGTAACATGGTCTTAAATAGGTAAGCAGATTTGCCATAAAAATACCTAGCTTTCTAGAGTAATGGATTATGCATCTGTCAGCTATGAATGTTCCTAAATCCTGTATTTAACATGCTCTTTTTAAACTGTCAATTTTGGGAAGCAAAATGCCTTCCAAGGCCTGAGTGCTCAAAACTTCATCGTGTCTGTCAAAAGCCCAACCTATTAAAAAAATACCCTATTTAAATAGCTTAGCATTGACCATTATACTAAAATTTTACCTTCTAATATTGGATACCAATGAAAAAAAGATACAATATCTCAATAATCCAGTACTGTTGAGGATAAAGGAATTTACGATAAGCATACTTTCCAAGTAATTTAAGCTTACAGATTGAAACACCAAAGCTGTTTAACCACTTTGATGGACATCTTTCTCAATTAAAAAATATACATATATATTTTACTGACTAAATACTCAAACTCTTACTGCTCACGTTAGATCACCATTATGAACATGAAATATTCTACACTAAGGACATCTAAGGCCTCTAAGGACATCTAACACTTTTAAAACTGTTCCTGTTCGTCTAGCATTCAGAAGGCATTCAGAAAGTCTTCCAAAGACTTTCAAGTTAAATGCAATTACTTTTGACAGGTTTTCTATATTTTCCCTATCATTTCTTGCTGGGACCGATAGGCCCTCAGGTACATTCTCTTCCTGCCTTCTTCGTTTTGCTGCCTTTAATGTGCTACGGGCTGAGAAAGCAGGTAATACAACTTTTAATAGAATTATGTTTGAGAAAGAAAACAGGCTCTCAGTTGAGGTGAGTCGATTCTGCCAGTGAGTAAAGCGTGAGAGCTTTCCAACAGGTGAACAGAACATAATTTGAAGGAAAATATTCCTCAACTGTTTCAGCTTATTCCTGGGTTTTGCCTATTTTCTAAATACTTGAGTTGCAAAGTTAGTGACCTCTTAATAAAGGAGGTATTATAACAATTTAATATTTTTTCCTTTTTTAAATGCCACATAATTTTACAAGTATTTTATGACCTAGTTATCCAGTTTTAAACTAGAGAACTGCTTAATTATGTCTTAGTGACTTATCAGTAAAGGTTAAATGTAAAGTTAAAAGGTTAAATTTATATTTTGGCCTCCATAAATTTAAAAGAAATTAAAGATTAATATATACATGTGACTAAACATTAATTATATATTGAATATTTTCAATGTGACCTTATCAAAGTGCCAAATCTTATAGGTTACTACAAATTATCTTAAATTTGGAAAATAAATTTTATGATGAAACAAATGGCTGAATACAAAGGCAAAGAGATCAGGAGGACTCCATGATATTGTAAGCTCTGTTTTCTTAGGGCCTGCATCAGTTCATGATAGACAGCTCAAACAGAAGGGAGCACATTAGTTCCTTCAGGATGCTAAAATTTTATTTGTCAATTTTGTTTTTTGTTTAAAACAATGAGGAGCAAGGAGGGAAAAAAATGGGAGATCTCTGCTGAACACATACCTCAAAACTGACGGGCATATTTCTCTTCAGAGCAATTTCAAACACTAAGCTGATCTCAGACTTATTTGCATCTTTGTCATCATCCATTTCTTTTCCTGATTCGCAATTCTAAATCACAAAAAAATAGGACAACATTGAATCTTCACTTTGTAACAAACTTTACATGTACTGAACAACCAAGAGAACCTATCTTAGACATCACAGGAAACCAGAGACTGGATCCTGTGGATTCCCATGGAACCACTGCAGTCAAGGGCTTTGCTGAGAGGCTTCTTGTGATTTGGTTTTAAGTTTTTTCCCCTCAGAGTAGAAGGATAAATGCTGAGTGTGGAAATCTTTTACTCAACTAAACACTAATCTGATGTAGATATCCCCAGACCTAGTTTTCTTTACAGACCTCCATCTCTCTCTCTCTCTCTCTCTCTCACACACACACAGTATCTTTACCAGTGTGTGATATTTAATCTTCTATGAAGACTAAGTTGCAGAAAGAGTATAGGATTCAAACCAGGAGGTTGGAGCTCTGCGTCTGGCTCTGCACCTATTTAACACCTACTTCTGGAGCCTTACACATGCTGAACACCATGTAAGCCTTAAAGAGATCAAGAGAGAGTATTCTTGCTGTCAAGAAGCTTAGGACTTAGTGGAAAGACAGACGCAAACATAAGAGTCATGATGAGAGTGTACAAGGACAAAAATGCTAAGTCTGCCATTAACTAAGAAAAATCGCAAAGGGGGAGGGACAACAGGCTTGAGGAAGGGCAAACTAAAGGCTGGACCTCTAGCTTCAAAAACTAAGTGGAGAACTCAATAAGAAGGGGACTTATTAGGCACTGGTGAACTAGAGATACCATTTTGAAGTCAACAGAGAATGCAGCTGAAACCATGGGAATGAGTGAAATTACTGAATATCAGCTTCGAATAACCTCGTTGGTAAAATAAAGTAGGACTAAAAAAATCCATAAATATCTCCTCCACTTGAAACTCCTTGATTCTAGGTCAATTACCACAATGTAATCCATGCTCAATAAAACACAGCACTCAATGCAAAGTAAATGAATGTTATTTCTCATCCTTGCTCACTTTCCCAAATCCTGCCTTGCCTGGGAAGGCTAAGCCAAAGTGCTCGAAGGCAAGGCCATCCCAACAAAACACAAGAGTCTAACCGAGCACACAGGTGAGCTGAAGCGCCGCCACAGCTGATCCAGTGTTCCCTTCTACTAGCAGAGACTTCCTCTGTTTGTAAAGAAGCATTCTTTGTCTTCTCAGTCATCTCCCTGGGAAGCTATCAGAAATAGGCTGCCACATTGCCACAGTGACCCACCTGAGCTGATTTTTCTGGTATAGGCTCATTCTGCAGTGCTTGAAGGGCTTTCATTGCAGCATTGTGTCTAGCGGCTTGTCGAGTCTTCCCTTCCCCAAAAAATTCATTATTTCCTACAGTCAGCTGAACATAAAAGATCTTGGGCACTGGGCAATGATACCTAAAGTAAGAAAATAAAAATGTTAACATGAATCACTCTGTAATCATTAGTAAGACTTGTTTTGCTTAAAATATTAATAAGCCGGTATAATCCACTATGTGCATGCGTGCTAAGGCACTTCAGTCGTGTCTGACTTTTGTGACCCCAAGGGCTGTAGCCTGCCAGGCTCCTCTGTCCATGGGGATTCTCCAGGCGAGAAAACTGGAGTGAGTTTCCAGGGCCCCCTCCAGGGGAGCTTCCCAGAGATCAAGCCCAAGTCTCTTATGTCTCCTGCACTGGCAGGTGGATTTTTTACCGCTAGTGCCACCTGGGAAGCCCAGATCCATTATAACCTCCTATTAACCTCAATAAAGTTTTACCTCACAAATATATTTATAAAAGATAAAATGTGAGTCAGTATATATATTGATGATAAAGCATGTATGCTGATCTCCATGAAAAACATATTTTGGAAAACATTAAACATAACTTAATACTGTAAAAATTATTTCGTTATATCACAGAAGACTTCCTGGCAAGAAATTTTCAGCTACATTTTGACGGAAGTGAGCCAAATGGTCTGGGGCTGAAGGATGGGGACTCACCACAGAGGCAAGAAACAGGCAAGACCGTCAAGGTGACAATATGCAGACTGCCATGCTTTTAGCAGAAGGTAACCATAATTAGACGTGGGAAGGGCAGAGAGATGGAGCTACTACTGTAAAGTAATAAATACTTTGCAAAGTACTAAGGAGAGAAGATTCAACATAAGAAAGAATGGGGAGTTTCAGCCAATTCTAAAGCAGAAAGAACCATAATAAAATGTATTTAAGGTGAAAACTTTTAGCAGGTTTGTGTTTAATGAGACTGAGAGGAAGCACAATTAGAAAGCTGCAATGATGCCAACATAAGGGGAGATTGTAAGGGGATTGTAAGAAGAAAGGATAAACAAAAGAAATTAAGAGGCTATGCAATATAATCTATTAATTTAACAATTATTTATGGGGCACCTTCTTATGATGAGGGAATATCACAGCAAACAAAAACATGCCTTACAGCGGAGAAGACAGACAATAAATAAAATAAATAGGTAGAATATCTAGGATGTTAGAAATACATGTTGTTTTTTTAATATTTATTTATTTGGCTGTGCCAGGTCTTAGTTGAGGCACACAGATCTAGTTCCCTGACCAGAGATGGAAGCCAGTCCCCCTGCATTGGGAGAATGGAGTCTTAGCCAGTGGATCACCATGAAGTTCCATATACATTTTAAACAGAAAAAGAAGGGAAGGTTCAAAAGTGAACTTTTTAAAAATTGCATGTATTAAGATTACAATAGAAACACTAGTGACACCATCTGAACAAAAGCAGTGATTTAATTCACTCACTGGTAATGGCAGTGAATGAAATAGTGAAAGTCTCTGGAGAGAATCAAGCAATTATCCGAGAGCTGTAGATCTGATTGCAACATGGTCTTCCGGTGTCGTTTGTACCTTTAGTGGCTTTCTCCTTTTTTGCCAACTACCCTTTTGAAGTCATTCATATTTGTTGCCTGAAGTCCCAATAAAAGTAAAATAGAAATTCTTGTTGTTTCTTCTACCCTTGAATGGACTGAGGGGTGAGGGAAGAGGGGCAGATAGAGTGATCAGTGAGTGTCTCACTGATAAGGTGACAACTGTGAAAAGAGCTCGAGTAAGTGAAGAAGGAAAGCATACAGGTATCTGGAGCAGGGCCTATAAGGCATTGAGAACACCAAGCGCAAAGGCTCTGAGGCAGCCGAGTGTCAGAAACGTTGGAGTGATTCAGAGGATTCCCACCAGGTGAGAGCTGGGGGTGTACAGAAAGGTAGACTAGGAGCTGGAACCCATGCCCAGATGCCAGAGGGCCTTCCTCAGAAATCACTGCGAGGATCTGACTTCTACCCTGAGTGCAATGGCTAGCCACCAGAAGGTTTCAAGGAGAGAAGTGACATAATCTGACTTAGACCTTGGAAGGATCATCTGACTGTAGGGGAATGATGGCAGACACAGGACATCTGTAAAGAAGCTATTGCAGTAATATGGGGGCCTGAACTAGGATGACAGCAAGGGAAGTAATGGGAAGTACTTGGATTCTGGACGGATTTCAAAAGTAGAGAAGATGGGTTTACCGAAGCACTGGCTATGGAATATGAGAGAGCAGTCGAGGAAGATGCCAGAATTTCTGACATGAGCAACTGGAAGATGGAGTGCCCAGGCATTAAGTTGGTGAAAACTGCAAAAAGAATGGGTTTGTTAGGAATGAATACCAGCAGCTCTGGTTTGGAGATGTTGAGTTATTCAGTCTTTTAGACATCCAAATGAAGATGTCAAACAGCCACTCAGATCTAATAAGTCTGGATTTCAGGAAAGAGGTCCAACGTGGAGATAAAATTTGGGAATCAATATACATAGGTGAAATTTAAAGCCACAAGACAGTGAGAACTCTTTGGGAGGGAGTGATAGGAGGAAAACCAAGCAAGCAGAATATCCTTCCTGAAAGCCAAATGGGGACAAGAATATCCAGGACGACGGAAGAGTCAGTCATATCAAATGCTACTTTACAAGTCAAGTGAAATGAAGACAGAACTATGACCACTGAATCGGGCAACTGAGCAAAACGAACAATCAGTTTTGAAGGAATACTGAATTTATCGTTGAAACACTGAAAAATTAGGTTAAAAATCACCCCAGTGCTGGAAAATGTCTCTTTTTAAGCAAAGAAAAGCCAATCAAGTTACCACTAAGGTTTAGATGATTATTGGTGTCCAAGTGGCAGACCTCTATAGTCAACCTGAGATAAACTGCACAGAGCCCATTGTATAAGAATTCACAGCAGATGGGACTCATCAGTGAAGGTTTACTGAAGGTGAAGGACTAGAAATGTACATCAGTACTGAAGATGAGATTTGGGAGGTAATAATTGAAACCATGTTGAGTGGATAAGCACCTGGAACGGGTAAGTGTAAAAGCACCAAAAAAAAGAGAAAAAGAGCCTAAGGCTGGGATCTGATGAATACCCATGATCAAAAGGCAGGGGAAATAATAGACGGCAGTGAAGGAGATGAAAGAGGATCAGAGTTAGAAAAGAAATTACAACACAATGTCAGAGGAAGGGATAATCAACGATGTCAAACGTAGCAGAGAAATCCAGAGCGAGTATGAAAAAAAAAAGGCACTGTTTTACATTTTTAAAGTCAAGTTTCTTGGCCCACAGTTTTCTATTAAGACAAAATATGTTAAATGTGTTTTTATTATATATCATATGTTCTCATTTTTAATTGCCAAATATAAAAAAGTTAAAGGAAGAAAAATCACTTATAGTAAAAGATATTTTTAACATGCAGAGACTAAAAAGCATTAAAGCCACAATTCTTTTTGCCCTTTGATTGCAAAAACTGATGTATTGAATTATATAATTCCCTAATACCTATTTTAGCTTAGATCCTTCAATGCAGAAATTTTGACAGACTAATATCATGAATACAGGTTATCTTCCTTCTCACAGAATTCAGTTTTCCTATCTTCACAGATTTTATGCATATTTCTAACTGGTTCCACTACAAAACTTGAAAACAGACAACCTGAAATCAGAAATTTACTCCTGGACTGAGATCTTATGTGGCAAGCTTTCACCATAGAGCAAATGTTTACAATTAATTATACACTTCTGAAAACAGAGGTCCGCGGCTGGAATGCTAACAGATCTTTAACTACAGTGGAGGGAGTGGGCGCCACTATAATCACTAAGGCCTGCTGACAATTACAAAACTCATTTCGGTTTGCCACAGAGACAAACAAAATTTCTGTTCATTATAACTTTACTGGAATATGATGTCATAACACATAACCATACTGAAACAATCTGCTGATTTTCTGACCAAAATATTAATTGCACACTAAAGAGCCCTTGGGGCCTCTTCCTTTTTGGCCATCAAAAATGGCTCTATGTACGCGTGTGTGTATGATGTGGATACGCGCGTGTGTGTGTGTGTGTGTGTGTGTGTGTAGTATCGCATAAATATCAGAGGGAAAACTAGGTATGTTGTATTTTTAACGTAAAAAGTAGCTCTTGTTTTTTGTGTGTGTATGATGTGGATACGCGCGTGTGTGTGTGTGTGTGTGTGTGTAGTATCGCATAAATATCAGAGGGAAAACTAGGTATGTTGTATTTTTAACGTAAAAAGTAAAAAGCTCTAGCACTAACAGCAGGAAATACCAAGACCCGACGCCTGACTTGTTTCATTCCAGTTTCATTCCATCCTCTTACTTAACAATGATTCTTAATAATTTACCCCACGTGGTTGGAATACCTTATATATCACATCTCCTCATACCATCATGACTATTACGATTAACCAGAGCACTCTCATTAATGGCTCCCAGATTGAATTATAGGAGAGAAGATGGAGAATTCCTTTTGTGTGTTAGGTCCTGGTCTCTAAATATTCATTTCCCGTGGTTAAAAAAAAACAAACTCAGGTACTTTAAAAGTAGGTATGGTCCATTTAATGGAGTCCCTTTTTCTATTTTTACTTATTTTTATTTTATTTTTGGTAAAGTGCTTATAATAAGTGATGCATGTATTTCTACAAATTAGCACATATATATACTTACCTAATCTTATACTGCTCTTTTCTCTTTTAATGTTTGTCTCTTCAGTTTGGTTTTTTATTTTTTTTTAATTTTTTTTAGTTTGGTTTTATTTTTATAAAAACTTTTTAGTTTGTAGCGGGGCACAGCTGATTAACAGTGTTGTGCTAGTTTCAGAACAGTGAAGGGACTCGGCCATACACACACACACACGCATCCATTCTCCCCCAAACTCCCCTCGCATCCAGGCTGCCACATAACATTGAGCAGAGCTCCGTGCTCTCCAGTAGGACCTTGTTGGTTATCCACTTTACACTGCTCTTCCCGAATGACCTTCCTGAATTAGGATTCTGTGACCAATGCTTCAATCCCCATCGTGATTACTGTTAAAAGATGAGCCGTGAAAACTCA